ATGCATGCCATGGATTTTCTCTCTTTTTATTTTATTTTTTGGCGAGAAAATATAAAATTCTTTGTTTACAATATATATAGCTAGCCGTGGGGCATGAATATTAGTTATTATGAATTATTATTATTATTATTATTATTATTATTATTATTATATATAAGGGTCGAATTTTAGCTAGCCAAGTTACGTGTGACTGAATCTTTGTTGACTTGATGTGAACGGAAACCGTATACTAGCTAGATTGACATTAGGGTTTCTGGCTGCATGCTATATATTTTTCATTAAAAAGTTGAGAAATAAAAGTTCCCTCTTGATAACTTCAAATAATTAATATGGGCCATCATTTAAGTGGAAGGAAATGACGGGCATCCAGTTCTTCTATTCTATCCACACCTTTTGACTTCAAGCTGTCAATGAAGACCCTCCCAAAGTCCTAATTAATTAATCAATTAGGGCAAGAATTATCTTTGATCATTACATAATAATCCATTCATTCATTCTCACATCAGAAGACTAATAAGAGACATCTTTCTAACTAGTGGGCTTTGTTTTCAACATTCTATGACTAATATGTTGATCGACGACTTAATTTTTTTGGACTTTGTACTATCGTATCATTCCTTTCCAACTACATATAATTTTGCTGAAAACTGCATCATTTGGTATGAAGATTTCAAACAAGAAGTGCAGTGACTTGGGTAGAGAATTTCAGGCCATGTTTGGTCTCAAGTCTCAACAAAGGTTACTGGACAGTGGACACCGTTCCAACGAAAAGCCCAGCTTCTAACTCTAAACGGGCCTGCCTTATATGTTCGTTTGGGCCCTAGCCCTTTCGGCAGACAACATAACACACTCACTAGTCTCACTACACTACACTAGAGTGACTAGACTACATAGCAGTAGATAACTCATTCATAACCACAGAACACAAATACCCACCCATGTTCTTGATAAGGACATTCATATTTCATAACCACACCGCAAAGTTGCTTAGTTGAGTCCGACTAAGAGGACTGACACCGTCACCGCAAGCTCTATCAGTTAGCCGAAAATCGAAACCTTCTGTATCAGTTTGGTTAGCGGTTAGACAATGAAGGGTAGCAATAGTTTTAGGGAGAGTCCGGACCGGCGGCAACTGGCAGGAGCAACTTCAGGGAGAGACTAGGCAAGCGACAACATCAATAGCTTCAAGGAAAGTCCTGGCAGGCCGTGGACGACGAGACGAGAAGACGATGACGGCTGGCGATGATGAAAGTCCAGAACGATTTGAGGATTGGGCGAGGTCGAGGTTTCAGAAGATGAGAAGGATTCGAAACCGATAGGCAACGACGAGGTGTGACGAGAGGACGACTAGCTGATGACGAGGCGGAGAAGATGATGCCAAGATGGTTGGCTGATGACGGGCAACGACGATTTAGGGTTCCTCGTTCTTTCTTCAATTCGACAAATTCGGTTAAAAATGAGCCGAATAACCATGCTTATCGGTTCGCTTTTGCGATATGTTTGACAGTCTTATACGTGATTGGAAACTTGTAAGAGATCAACCCATTAACGTCAACATAAGCTAATCCTTTGTTTTCATAATTGACTATGCATTACAAAACCTAAAAGTACATATAAGTATTTGATCAAATTTCAGTCCTATGACATGATTTATACATCAATAAGATATTCCTCCCAATTAGAACCACACAAATGACAAATCCATAGCTACAAAAGAGAGAACTTCACAGAAAAAAAGAAGTGATTTATTGGACTTACGAGTTATACAACAATCTATCCTTTCTCTAACTCGTCAATGGAGACAAAACTTCTGTAGGTACGAGTACCGGACCTTTACACGGTACTTGGTCTTGGTGTCACTACTACTTGTTGTTGCCTGCATCAGCAGAAAAGAGGAAAAGAAAAAAAATGTCAGGAGCAAGAGCAAGCCAATTCTTCCCCCTTCCACTTAACCATCATCACATGTTCGTATTACGATTATCTCTTCTCATCAAGCCATGGCCACTCTTTCTCTCGCAGTTTCCCCACCCTCACCAACCCCATTCCCTTTCTCTGCTCCTCCTCCTCCTTCCAACCCCACAATCCAATGCTGCAGCAACATCTCAAGCTACAATTCCGCTCCTCACGAACAGCTTCACTTCCCCACAAACGGGAAGCCAAGCTTCCAGCAGTCCCCTTTCAACACCAACTCTCCCCTGCCGCCGCGGCCCCGCCGCATAATCCTCGTCCGACATGGAGAGAGCGAGGGGAACGTGGACGAGAACGTCTACACCAGAGTCGGCGACCCCAAAATCGGCCTGACCCAAAAAGGGAAAGCTCAAGCGGAGGAATGTGGGGCCAGAATCAGGGAGATGGTCGAAGGAAATGGAGCGGCAGAGGACTGGAAACTGTATTTCTATGTTTCCCCTTACAAAAGGACTCGGCAGACTCTGCAGCATCTTGGGAAGTGTTTCGAGCGCCGGAGGATAGCCGGAGTAAGAGAAGAGCCTCGGCTAAGGGAACAGGATTTCGGTGGGTGCTAATTTGGGGAATTAGCCCTTAGGGTTTGTAGGTGGCTAATTGCTAATTAATTGACAGGGTAGTGAACAGGGAATTTTCAGGACAGAGAGAGGATGCGGGTCGAGAAAGCTCTGCGAATGTTGTACGGAAGGTTCTTCTTCAGGTTCCCTAATGGAGAATCCGCAGCCGATGTCTATGACAGGATCACAGGTAAAAGAAAACCCACAGTAATCAAAAGGCGTGTTGTAAAGAATCCTCACCATTAATTGCTTATGAAATTGGATGATGAGGGGCAGGATTCAGGGAAACGTTGAAATCGGACATCGACGTGGGGAGGTTCCAGCCGCCGGGGCAGAGGAGCGAGGACATAAACCTGGTGATAGTGTCCCATGGGGTGACGCTGCGGGTGTTCTTGATGAGATGGTACAAGTGGACGGTGGAGCAGTACGAGAGGCTGCATAACTTGGGCAATGCGGGCATGGTGGTGATGGAGAAAGGCCACGGTGGGAGGTACAGTTTGCTGATGCATCACAGTGAGGAAGAGATGAGGGAGTTTGGGCTGACTGAAGAGATGCTCATTGATCAGGAGTGGTAAGTAAGGACCAGATACAGTTTGTTCACAGCTTGGACAAGTAAAACTTTTTGCTCAAATTTTGTTGTTGTGATGATGAATATATCAGGCAAAAACATGCGAGACCAGGGGAGCTGAACTATGATTGTCCGACTATCAATTCATTCTTCACTCATCTCGGAGACGATGGGTGCAGAACGTGATGAGAAGAAAGGGACTGGATAAGTGAGAAGCTAAGCTACCTGTGTTTTTCCATGGATGTAGCTAGTTTGCTTTTTTTCTGGGTTTATTTTCTCGTCTAAAGCAGGGGAGTTCTTGTATATGTATATATGGTAGATAAGAAATACTGCAGATGTAGTAACTGTTTAGGGTGGCTCAATGTTTTTGAGTCTGATTCTAATTTCATAGTTTTTTTTTTTTTTTTTTTAACATAGTCAAGAAGAGAAACAACGTCACATAGTCAAAGTACAGAGATCAACGCCGTGCGGAAGTCGACAAATAGTCGAACTTCCGATGAAAGGGCTTGTTTTGCCACAAAATGGGCGGCCCTGTTAAAGATGCGCTTGGCATAAGAGCACGAGCAGAACTCAAATCCCTGCGCCATCCTGTGAATGTCTTCCAGAAGCGCACCTCCCATCACGTGTTGTCGATCCCCGGATAGCACACGTTGGATCACCAGTTGCGAATCCCCAAACAATTTGACATTGAGAAAGTTCCGGGTTAGGCACCAATCCATAGCATCACGCAAGGCTAGGAGTTCCGCTAAAAAAGGATCTTGGATATCAGAGTAGAATTTACCTACAGCAAAGGTGAGCCCACCAGCAGGATCAAATCCGACGAACCCAACGCTACACCCACGGTCACGTTTGGTGGCTCCATCAAACCTTACCACCCAGCTTTGGGATTCAGCAGCTCGCAAATCCATTACCCGCACCGCGACAACCCCCGATAATGACGGCCCCGGATTTCTGATGCGGTCTGGAATCTGGCCATTATTTCCTTCCGGCTGCTCCCCTTGGCCGGACGTAGCTGTTCGCCATTCATCCCTCTGCGCGCGGAATTGTCTCAATAGGGCAGGGGGTAGATACTGAATACCCCCATGGACCGCCCAGCAGCGTCCTTTCCAGATCCTCCAGCAGAGGAAAACCACTTCCGCCACCTGAACCTTTGCAATCGCATCGAAAGAAGAAGATTATTCCATGCATCATCTATAGGCAGGCTTACCAACGAGGAGTGGATTCCCGATAGACCAGCCAAACCCCATAGAGGTTGCGCGACCCTGCAATGAAAGAAACAATGAGCAAAAGTCTCCGGAGCATCAGAACAAATAGGACAGGTTAGAGAGTCAACTAAAGTCTTGTGAAGTAAGACAGTTTGAAGGGGAAGAAAGCCCCTGACCACCCGCCAGAAGAAAAATTTAAGCTTCGGCGGTGATTCTAATTTCATAGTTGCATCACTGCTTCTTTGGACTTTGGAAAATAAGACGGGAAACATTGTCACTTGGCATCTTATAATCTAACCGAAATGAAATTTAATGAAACGAAATTAATTTTTGAGTCCAAAAAGTTGCTGTGGTGTAGTTGTTATCACGTCAGTCTTACACATACACACTGAAGGTCTCCAGTTCAATCCTGAGCAGCAACAAGTTTTATTTATCTGTTTAGTTCAAGTTCAACTAGTTTTGATAAATCTGTGCCCAACCTAAAGCAGGTATCCACTAAGAAAGACAGCAACTACTTTTTAGTTTTTACTGGTTCTGGTTCTACCTTGTTAAACTCGATTTTAAGATTGAAAACAGGCCAAATATGCATCCCTTGCACTTATTTCATCATTTTCATCAACTCAGATCAAATCCGCCCTGCCGAAGATAGCGATAAAAGGCTGGAGCAACAGTTTGGCAACTCGAAATGACGTCTTGTTGCCAAGAACAGAAACAAAGTGGCACACATCATTGCCTCATCCATAAATAATTTGAAGTTTATCACAAAGTCACAAAAATTAAGAGAGTACATCTGGAGATGACAAAAGAATACAAGATGGCGGTTAAGTACCTATTCTAAAAGTGGGGTTGTGAACCCTAATGAGATTATATCCTGATAGGGGGGGTAGTCAGAAGCTGTTGAGGAAGAAAAACGTTTGATCTCGAAACTAACACATTTTGGCCGATCAAAAAGGGAGCGCTACAACAACACGAAAATCCATTCTCACACACAGCAACAACAATCTTCCTACCAGTAATCGGCTTTTGTGGCTGGTACGTCTCTACTCTTCTTCCTTGTCATAGTTTTTTTTTATTTCTTTTTCTCTAGTATTGTAGCATTGCCTTCTAGGCAGAAGTGCAAGGCACATCTTCCTGTTCATCAGCTATGGTGGTAGAAGGTTTGTGAGCAGAGGATGGTGGCTTCTCAGGAGGGGAAGAAGGCTTGCATGGCCGGTTTGGACGAGTCTGGTCAACTTTGTCTTTGTTAATGTCAAACTGCAAAACCAGTTCTTTCAGTTAATAGAAGGAACAAAATCAAGGTACAATCATTCCTCGTGGAAACTGGCATTGATCTCAAGGCAAAATTACTGAAATGCAAAAAGGATAACCATCAATTAACTCCAGCAAGCTGACCTTATAACCGCAGCCAGACACACAGGCATGGAAGCATTCCTGTATGCAGAAAGAGGGACCAGGTCAACGTAAGCAAATGAAAAGGGAGAAACACCAAAAGATACCTCTGAGTAGCTAGCAGCTCCAGGTGAACGGTCAATGTAAGCACTCCATTGTTGGTCTTTTAATACAGGGTCCTTGTAGCATATCTCTTCACACGCTTCCAAGCCTGGAGAGATGCAGCTCAACAGTTAAAAGTGCATATCCAGCCAGCAGCCAAACATGTGTCATGACATGAATATCTTTAGGTCACTCAAGTTCTCAAATTAGCGATTGTTTCAGTTAATCCTTAACATGCAACTAGATGTAACAAATGATTCATTTACATGTCATGAGCCAACTGCATGGTACACAGTCAATCTGAATTCCAGTATGAAATCCATAATTCCATCATCTCCTACTAACAATGAGGATTTGAACATAGTATTTGAATGATTATCAATGCAACTAGATTTTCAAATGTGAATCAAGACACTAGCAGACGATCATGAGGGCAACTAGAGAATATGGAAACTCACACTCTTCCCATGTGTCTCCATCAGCATTACAACCTTTCTTGCAAAACACTCTCCCTGCAAAAAAGGCATTAATCAATTACCCTTTGCATTATCTAGAAAATACTGTCTACTCTCTTAGCATCCATGAAGCCAGCAAGGTTAGGCCACAAAAGCAAAGGAGATCCACCATAGTTTACCTTTTACCGATTAAGAGTGCATTCGATTATCATCCAAGCATATGAAGCACAAAACTAAAAGCGCATTGAAAGCTCCGCTAAATTGTGTTGCCAATGAGATTCTTGTATTTGTGAAGCCTAAATGGGTCCAAGGGAATTCAGCAACAAATGGCCAACGCATATTCTGGCCATATACTCTCTAACACAACACAAGGTTCTCGAATCCATATGAAACAAGCTACAACAGAAACCAACACATTTGACTCATAACCTAATCTGCATTCTGCAGATGATTGAAAAAACTCTCCAAAATGAACGAAATTTAGAGCTGCACCATGATTCCTCTTTCCAAACGGCCAGGCCATGGACGATAGAGTATGACCTGAGCTACAGGGCATTTGAATCAAACATCTCCCATTATGATCTCAACACGATGATGAAGACAACTATCAATGCTCCTAATAGCTTGAACCATATACCTATCCGGCTAAGCAGAAGGATTATGATTCAAGGAAGAAAGCTTGCAGAGGACAAAAGCTTAATAGGACCAAAGAAATCATCAACATCAACATCACCATTGACCATATGTAATAAGATTGCATGCGACAGTTCTTTGAAAAAAATGCCCCAATGAAATTTTTTTTTACGAAACCCATCATTGTCTAGGCGAAGCTACCGGAATCAATCAAAGTTGCATATAAAGCTCCATTCGCAAACAGGTAGAAAGGGAAACAGACAGACAAAGCGACCACACGCTTTCTGCAAAGGAAAAGGAGGAACACAAAGAGAGAAACATTTACAAGGAATCTGAGTTAGGGCAGCGTATTTGTGGGTGCATTCGCCGCCACAGGGTTGAGCCCATTGCTGCGGTATCATATCTCCGTCTCCGGGTCTCTCTCTCCGAAAAGCCGCAAGCAGTTTCGGGTCGCCGACGGCAAGGCAGGGCAAAGGAGAAGAAATTTGCAGCGGTGAGTTTCATTATATAGGTCAGGGGTAGTCTAGTCATTTGGTGTAATCACGGGCTGCCATTTCCGGCCACTGATGGCCTCTCCTTCCTTTTCAGACTCCGTGGAGGAGAAAATTCGATGCGCATGGAGTGGGTGACGTAAACTTCGTCGTACCGAATAAAACGTTGTCGTACTGGATAAAATTGTCACGAAAAATTGCAAAAAGTGATGGCCTCTCCTTCCTTTTCAGACTCGTTGGAGGAGAAAATTCGATGCGCTTGGAGTGGGGTAAACGTCGTCGTACTGAATAAAACGTTGTGGTACTGGATAAAATTGTAAGAAAAATTGCAAAAAAATGGAGATGCGGGGTATCGATCCCCGTACCTCTCGCATGCTAAGCGAGCGCTCTACCATCTGAGCTACATCCCCATGTTGAAATATTTTTCAATGATATATTATTTATCTTTTTGTTTGCTTCTCTATTCCACCACACACCAAAGAGTAAATTTACCACAAAATTTGATTGAAATAGAAAATGGAATTTTTCAATTAACCGATACCCCATAAACTCAATATTTGATTATTCATATCATATGTCATATATAATCATACTTCCACCAAGACGAGAAGGAAGATTCCAACTAGTTATTTATACATGCTTTCTCTATCTCTGACTCTACTCTTTATTCCTGAAACCCGAGCTCATTCAATTCGACCCTCCAGCGAGCTTCATCTCAATTGATGCTGCACCGACCAACAAATCAATGCACAGAGAGCTCAAACTCATGCGGTAAATTAACATCAAAAGCCATATTAAACGCTACATTCTATATTATTATCGATCAATGGAATAAATATAATGGTACCTCTGGCAGTTGATAGCCTTGGAAATGGGGATGCTTATTGCAACGCCACACTTGGTAGGGAGAGAGGAAGCCGCATCTTCCTTGACCGGATAGTGGTCGGCGGCGGCCTTGACACAGGCGCAGGCTGCTCTCCTGTCGTCGACGGTGGCAGTGCTGGCCTTCAAGCTCCGGATTCCGTCGCAGCACTTAGAGGCAGGGTCCCCTGCTCCGGTGGTCAAGTAAGGAATGCAGGGCGCCAGGTCTCCATCCACTTGCCCGCAGCTTATTGCCGCATCGCCTGCCTGAATCATGGCCAGCATTGAAATCACGAGGACTGCTGCTGTTGCTCCCTTCATTTTGGTTTCTTTGAATTGCAAACTCTGCTTTCTGCTGATGTGGGTGAAACGGAGTCGGGGATCAAGTGCGGTATTTATAGTGCCAAGTTTTTGGGTCCTGGCAAATTCGTTAGGAAAAAGAAAGTAGTTGAAAATGTGACATTTGAATCGCTTTCCGTTTTAACAACCCTACCTACGGTGTGGATGCAATGCACATCCCAATGTTTGCTTTCCCACCATTGTTGTCCATTTCTGCCTATTGTTAAACTAATCAGACCCATTTAACAGGAGCAGGAGTCTCATCAACAAAACAGTCCAGGAATCTAGCAAAGTTCATGTTCTACCCATAGTGTTATTGGTTGTGTGAATTTATATATGCAAATGACGAGAGAGATGGGCCTGCTTTATCTGTAAAGGCCACGGAACCGGCCCAAAGCACCGAACCCAAACATCAAATAAGGCCCTGGACTGTGGACCCTAATAATTTTGGGGGAACAGGCCATAGTTGCAGATGAACGAAACGAAGAAAGGATCCATGGGAATTGTGAAACAGTAAGAACATCTATTTTTGTACGATTTGGTGAACCGGAGCTAACATAGATAAGCCTGTGGGGTGTGGGTAAACTTGATATGAGAAAAGATATATTCACTGGGATTCAATTCTAAAAAATATGGGATACCTTGGAAAATGGTTTGTTTCCTTTTGTTTGAATAGGAGTTTTTGAGTTCGATTAAATTGATGTAGAAAGAATTGGTGTCTGGGTTTGCTTTGCAAATTTTTCGAAGATTCGAAATACTAAAATTTAAAGAATATAAGAAATATTTTTAAGGAAGAAATGAATTTGTAGGTTACATGAAATATTCATAAAATAAAGTTTCAAGCAAATTTTCGAATCGGAGCTTTATCTTTTAGGATGAAAAAAATTCAAAAACCAACTTCAAAAACAAAAAAGAATTTCTCATGGTGAGGTATTTCCGCGACATATACAATAAGTAACCTTTCTATCTTATCAAGTCGTCATACTTTACACCCAAACAAGCCAAAAGTAGGGAAAAGAGAATATTAGTTCTCTTCCTTGGATTGATAATCATCATTAATCCTAATTAAAGCATCCAGTCTTAATTCTTCCTTTTTCCTGAGCTGATGCATGCCAAGCTTAACGATAGGTGATACCAGGTAGCTTCATAAAAGTAAAACCCTATCAATTTCTCGTATACAATATTAGGACACGGTTTCAAACTTTCAATAATACACTTATCGACGGCTGCAAATTAATCATATTAATCAACCAAAATTGCCCCCACCCCCACTCGTGTAAATAGTACAATTAATTAACAAAAATTAAAGAAGAAGAAGAAGAAGAACAGCCGTCCTGTATATGATTGCACCCGTGCTGATCAAGTCCTTAATACTAGTTTAATTATCGACTAATCATCATACCCTTACGTGTGAATTCGCGTTAAAACCAACTAGACCGGCCATTTCAAGCATTAATTAATCATTGTTGGACGCCCATATGGAACTACATTATTAGTTTTCCTTAGCACAAGAACAGATGAGCATCGAGGAAACAAGATAAAGTAAGGAGGCTATTTATGAGCAAACAAATGTCACATGAGTGGAGTTGAATTTAATTGGAAATTGGAAGAAGACATCCCCATTGGCGATTGGCAGCCTGGAATCGTGAGAGAGATCTAAGCCGGTCCACGACTCTGCACATGAAGTTTGATAAATGTTCTACTATTTGTATATACATAACAAACAATCAATGTGCTGATGATCGACCACACAACATCCATGGTGTATTATTGGCTGGATTAGCTGTAATACTATAGTCCCTCTTGATGATATATTCGTGATTATCGCTTCAGGCAGCTGCGCGATTACGCTTTTTTTTTGTTGATGTTGATATTCTTGGTGAAGAACACCATATATAATCCGCATGATATTTTTATTAGTGGTGTAGTTAGAATTTGGTGGAATGTGATTGAGAGGAGGGATTATTTCACCAATTGATGATGATTGTCGAGATTTGGCGGAATGTGGGCTTTGTGGATGGACGAACCGAAATTTTCGAGCAATTCTTGATTGGGACTATAATTTGTCATTTATAATTAGGAAGCTTTACTTACTGCACAGTGAAAAGCATTAGTCTCATCATACTTAAAGGGACTATAATTTGTATAGAAAATCTAAACTCAATGCCTCTCAATTATGAATAACTCTCTCATACGATACAAGTGATCAAAAGCCGAACAATCCTGATAACTCAAGGTGTTGATAATCAATATTTTTCTGTTGAACGTGTACTACATCTTCATCAACTACTATTCAAGAGTAATTGAGACCAGCAAACTAGTGAAAAGACATGAAACTAGAGTGATAGGGACCAACATTGACCATTCATTGAATTTGTTTGGAAAAATATATAGAGAATGGGATAGATGGGGGGCAATAATGGAGATGTTTGTCACAAAGATCAGAAGACTCACATGCCTGTGACGACTTTGGTTTTGTATTAAATGGCCGCATGACAACAGAACTAACAGTCAGATCGTTCATCTACTCCTTATCCTGCTGGAGCCGCCCACCCATAATTCCACAGCCAAAGATTTATTTATGTTAATTAATTAATCTCACTGTTTAACTCTCAAATAAAGATTGTGATAGATTGGTTTAAAACATTTGGAGATTTTCTTAGTGAAGATAACTGGTCATTGCGTAATCCTAGTCCATAATTCTCGAATGAGTGAATCCTAGACCATAAACTCAAACGAGTAAATCTTATACCCTAATTTTCTAAACTTTAAATTCTAAGATGAAATACACTATCGACAATTATGATTTGTCGATATCCAACGTACCATATGCATCATTTAAGGATTTAGAGAATTACGGTATGGGATTTAGTCACTCTAGATAGGGTATAGTATCTTGAATTTTGATCAGTTCATGGTCTAGATAGCATTACTCATCATTGGCCAATGATATTTGTCTTTCACTTCCATCGTTATGATTCTCAACCCTTAGTGCTTAGTGCAGTTATTAGCTAGTGATTTTTGGTCATTCACTTGAAAAAATTTCCTTACAAAACCATGTCATTCTCTTATATGCATTGAATCAATTTGTGACCGTAGATAGACCATCGAATGTCAAACTTCGTATTTAAAAAAAAAATGTGTAACTCTTTCGATAATAATCATTGTATTCCCATAAAATCATGTAATTTAGTCAACTTATAAGTTGTAATACACCACCTAAACTCTAATTCAATTAAGGAGATCGAACATAATTGTGTCATGTTAATTTTTAGCAACCTCCTTAGTCTCAAACTAAGTTTGCATCCATGGCTTACTCCACTGGGACGTCACAAGTCTTGTTGCTTGTGGCACTTTCTTCTATTTGCTAGGTCGGAGAGCATTACAATTTACAGAACATCCAACACGCCACCATATATATGTCCCACCTTTCTAAATATTTGGTTCATATTACAACAAACCCTACAAAATTCAACTAGAAATGTGTCAATGGGGATTCTGCATTGTGTTATGCGGGCTGGAAGATATATATAGTGTTCAGGACATTACACTTCTTCAGAAAGATTCTTTCATAACACTGCAGTTAATACAAAAAAAAAAAAAAAAAAAAGATAACGAACTAATTAACGAACATAAATATACATCTGGAAACCACATTCTAGGTCCTGTACTTTGTTGGTAGTCGCTAGACACGAGTGACTGTAACTAGATACCCTTTTTCCCTCTTTCTATGCAGTTCAGTTCTTTCCCATTGTTCTTTTGTAGCTGTACTACTGTAAATCTTCCACAATTGTTCTCTAAAGTATGATCATCAATTGTTACTCTGTCTAATTATTAGTTAATAAATTAGTTTAATCGTTAATCACCCCTTTTTAGTCCGCTCATATCAATCTCTCTTAGGTTTCCTTTTCTGTAAAAGATGAGTGTAATTAGCACCACTGTTGTTAATTAGCTGTAGGTCATTATGCAATACTTAAAGCTAAGCAACTTGCAATTAGGAAGTATATTTTTCCTTGTTACTCTCTTCTATTAATGCCTAGTTGTGCTACTGCTTACGCATGCTCTTCAGAGTATTCCCTCCTCGCCTTTTTTTTTAACAGAACACTTCCTCAGTTATGTCTCTTTGAGAGGAAACTCTGCATCGCCGGTTACCACACTTTGATTTGCAGTAGATGTCTCCTCTACCGCTTCATATCCATTAACCAAAAGTCCAGCCATCTTATCCACTGAACTAGCTAGAAGCTATCGCTTCGGGTCGAAGCACTAAAAGATCTCTTGTTTGAAAATTTGGAGCAACTGTAGTTGTCTCTTAGAACGGAACGGGAAGTCGACAACGTAAAAAGTAAAAAATACACAGATTTACGTGATTTACTAACAACTACGATGTGTGTTAGTTAATCCACGCGAACAAGAGTCAAATGTCATTATACTTGAGAAGATATAGGTCACAGTGGAATTAAAAAGTCATATATAACAGTTCTCCAGACAGTCTAACTCTAATCCAATCTGGTTTGGAAAATGTTACAGTCCAGGCCAAAATAGAAAAAACATTTGTATATAAGCCTTGTGACTTCCAGTTGAACACAAATAATCCAACTTCCAAGTCATAACAACGGTTTCTTGTAGCAGGGTCTTACGTATCATCTAGGTTGCATCGTTACTTACGCAATCCAATGGTTGGATGATCATTCAACACATGCTAGAGGAAAAATAAACCATATCATCTAATATCCACTATTCCTTTGTGATCGCTAAACCTAGCTAGCGAGCTAGTAGAATATTATAGTGATATCAAGAACAAGGATGAAATTGAGTAGCACTAGCAGGATGGAAAATGGTCTAAGGGAAGAACAGAAAAGAGGAGGACAGACAATGATTGAGGATTGAATTTGGGTTTTGGGGCAGAACAATCAAACCAGGAAGCGTACGTAGTAGCCTCACACTCTGAAAATTGACTCGACATAACACCCGACGCCACGTGATCCTTGTCACTGCCCAAATCTGCCCACCGATCCCTTCTCTTCTCCTTCTGCCCACTCACATGTCACTTCCCCGACACATAATATAATAGACTCAAATAATGAATGAATAAATAATACGTCCAGTGAAAAACAAAATCCTTTTTAAAATTTATTTTACATATTAAACTACTTGTTTAATTTAATCGAATTACACCCTTACTTTACTTACCATTAATCTGTTCTTATATCGGCCCATATATATAGACCGTTCCTGACAAGGCAAAGTTGGCAATGTGGGGAATCTGG